GGGAGGGAGGGAAGAGATGGGGGGAGGGAGAGAGGGAGGGAGTTGGGGGGAGATTTCAAGGGGATCTGATTGAGGTGGTAGCTTCCAGACGTGTAAAATCAGAGAACATTGCTTGACCAGAAACCATTCAACTCCAGCTGGGAGCTCTATGGACACCTGTCCTCTGTGCAGGCAAGAACTCAGACACTGTCACCTCCTTCTTGCAGGGCAGCTGTGTGGAGTCTGGACTTGCTGGTGAGCCTTGGAGGCAAGCTTCCACATAAACGCACATTTGAGAACTATTGCCCAAGGCATGTGGCCTGAGCCCTAGTTCTTGTGGGTCAGAGAACAGTGGAAGAGCTAAAAGGGTGGTAAAAGCAGCAAACAGCTCCCATGCCAGGCAGAAGCGCCTGCACCTGCCCTTATTCCCTCCTCATGCCTAACTGGTGTGATGTGCTCATCCCACTTCACAGGCGAGAAAACTGAGCCTCAAAGAAGCAGTGTCTTGTCTCAGCCAGCCAACTTGTAGATAGCAGGGCTGGGCTTTCCATCCAAGGTCCAAGCTCTTCCTTTAGGATCATAGAGCCGGGAAGAGAGGTAGTAGCTCTTCCTAGCAGACAGTCCAGGTTAAACCAGTACTCCCAGAGCTGGCTGCCAGACCCTTGCCTCTGCTAGGGAAAGGAGACAGCACCCCCTGGAGGCAGCAGAGCCCTGCACCAATCATAGCCAGAGCACTTGAAGCTCCCCAAGAAACCAGAGACTCTAAGCAAGAAGTGGGAGCTGCTGTCCTTCTCCCTTGCTGGCATCCAGGGCCCGGAGCCCAGCCTGACAGGCTCTGCCGGTCAGCCAGGCTACATTCCATCATCTCTGGGGAAGGGGCTGGGTAGGATTGTCCTTCTGCCATAAAAGTGGCTAGCTGGTGTGACTTACTGGAGACTGACCCTCCTAAATAGCTTAGTGACAGGCTCCCTTCCTACCCCATCAGGAATGTTCCTCATGAATCACCCAGAAGTCAGACAGTAGCATGAGTGCTTCAGGTGTGTGCAGTGCTCCAAATGACCCCTCTGACCCTCAGTCCACTGCATGGTCAGTATTCCCCCTGGTCCTGTGAGGAAGCTGAAGGTCAGCTAGTCAGGGGCTGGATAGACCCCAGCTACCCTCCTTGCTGCAGATTGGCTGGGATTTGGAATCATGCCCATTCACATTTGCTTTCACCACATTGAGAGTCAGTGTGGTGAATGGTCACAAGCCGGGCATGGAAGCTGTCTCACAATGCCCCAGATTCTCACCTGCAAAGCAAAGCTAAGAAGGAATTTTGCTTTAGGAGATGTTGTGCTGAGAAATGACTTAAGATGAGAACGGCTCTCCGCACTGTTATGGGTGGGAAATGCCCTGCAGAGCTGTGGCTGCTGTTAGCGCTCCTGTGTCCTGCATGCCTGCCCACCTCCCTGAGCCTCTGCCCCAGAGCTAATGGGCCAGCCCCATCAACTCCAGCTGGATACCTCTCCAAACCCACATCACGACCCAGACCTCTCACCCGGACAGTCCTAAGAGGCCCTGCAAGCTCAGCCATGGTGAGCATCTCCTACACGCTGGACATACACAACTCTCCAGTGAAGCCTCCTGTGGCTCCCCATGGAAATGTCCCCATGGAGTCATAGCACTGGTCCCTCTGGAATGGGTCCCTCTGAAATCAGTCTGACGCTAGTCCTCTTTCAGACATTCTAGTGCTGCCTCCCCCAGACTCATTCTGCATATAAACTCTTCATTTTCAGGGAGTGTGTTTGGGTTTCTCAGATCTAGGATTGTGTAGATGTTGATTCCACGGTCTGAACTCATAAAGCTCTCCATTCTCAGAGACCCATCCCATATACACAGTTCCCTGAGAAATGTCCTTGACCATCCATGCCCCTACCTGCACATTCTGAAGGGCAGCTGTGAAGCATAGCCCACTCATATAGAGCTCCTGGGAGGCTGTCCTGCTTTTTTCCTGGAAGGCTATAGCAGAGGAAAGCCACAACAGCTATCCAGGGAAACCAGTTTATTTTCTGGTTCTTATAGCAGAGAACCAAAGATCCTCACACATTTAGAAAATTGCCAGCACAAAGGATATAGGTCAAGACAAATAAACAAAGTAACTGACCCCAAAAGAAGCTGAAATAACTTCAGGAATAGAAAATAACTTTAAGAGATGAAAAACTTCCTTTAATGCCTAGATTAGAGAAATTACTGAATCCATACAAGAGCAGGTTTCCATGAAGTAAGAGAGACCAGGAAAACAAGAAAGAACTCTTAAAAACTAAGCATGATTACTGAAATTTGAAATCATATCATTAGAAGGGATGGGAGAGCAAGCTAAGGAAATATCCCATCATGTAGAGCAAAAACACAAAAAGATGGAAAACTTTGGAGCTAAAATATGAGACATGGATGATTAACATTAATGACCCATCATCAAATTACTAAAATTTCCAGGAAGGAAAAATCAAGACAATGAAAGGCAGCATATCAGTCATAGTCTGTGAAGGAAACATAATTCACCCCGATTGTCAAACAAAGGGACTTTAATAAAAAGGTAACTTATACAGGTGTGGGAAAGGTTAAGGGTGAAAAAAAAAACAAGAAATGGTGAGGTGCCCAGAGACTGGCAGGGGAGAGAAGTAGTTACCACCCTGCAACTAAAAGAACAAGAGGAGAAAACCATGTTACCAGAACTGGAGGACTGTGGAGAAAGGGCCACCCAGTGGGAGCTTCTGTAGTGTGGAGGCATGCCGCCGCCACCAGACAGCATTGAAGCAAGAGGAAGCAGAAAAGAATTACACCAACCCCTCCTTCCTTCTACTTCCAGTCTCCTGTCAGTCCCTCCCATTGACCTAACCCAGCTGCAGTCCTGCCAGCAAAGGAGCTGTCAGCCTCCCTGGCCACAAGGAAGAGCAGAGAACCACAGTGGAGAATGCATCTGGGTGGGGTGTGAGCAAAATAGTCAACACATGGAATCATCAATAGCAAGAATATTCCAGAGCTACAAATGAAAAGGACGCCCTGGGTACTGCTCCACACCTAGACAGGTCATTGCATAATTTTGAAACACGAAGAAAAAGGGAGAAGTTTCTAAAGTATTCCACGAATGGGAGCAGGAAGAGAAAGATTGCCTACAAAGAAAAGGAGAGACAGACCATTCTCAGTCTTGTCAGCAACATAGAATGATGGAAGACTCTGAAAAGATGGAACTATATTTTTAGGATTCCTGGAAATATATTTTGAAGCTAAAACTCTCATCTCAGCCATAATACCAAGTGTAAGGGTAGAATAAGGATATTCCTAAACTTGCAAGTTTATATTTCCTGAACCTTTTCTGAGGAAGTTCATTAAGAAAGTGCATTCATCCATTTTCACACCACTATAAAGAACTACCTGAGACTGGGTAATTTATAAACAAAAGAGGTTTAATTGACTCACAGTTCTACATGGCTGAGGAGGCCTCAGGAAACTTACAGCCATGGCAGAAGGGGAAGCACAGCACATCTTACATGGCAGGAGGAGAGAGGCTGGGGACTGCCAAACACTTTTAAATCATCAGATCTCATGGACACTTACCATCACGAAAATAGCATGGAGTAAACTGCCCCCATAATCCAATTACCTCTCACCAAGTCCCTCCCTCAACACATGAAGATGACAATTAAAGATGAGATTTGGGTGAGGACACAGAGCCAAACCATATCAGAAGGTACTTCAACGCAACTGGTACTTGAAGCAAGCAAGGAGGGATGAGGTCAAAAAAATGGTTGAACTGCCCCAGGAGCCTGGGATTTTCTTTCCCTACTCAAATAGTAAACCAGCATTACCGTATTTCCAGGGGAATTACAGGGATCAGTACCATGATTAAAGACTTGAATGCTGTAGTGACATGGATGCCTGTCACATTTCTGCCCACTTGGCTCACCTCTTTAGCTCTTCAGCCTGTGCAGAAAGTTGCTGAATCTTGGAGAATGACTATAGGTCGTCTTAAATTTAATCAGGCATAACTCCAATTTTAGCTGCTTTTCTAAATGCAACATAGAACAACTTTACCACTCCTAGCTCTTAGTATGTAGCTGTTGACTGGGCTCGTGTTTTCTCCCCATCTATATCAATAAGACCAGCAGAAGTTTGCTTTCACCTGACAGGTTAGAAGTACAAAGCCAATGTCTCCTCCCAGATCATGTTCATTCTCCAGCTTGCTGTTATAGTGTGGTCTACAGAGACCTTGATCTTCTGAACATCCCACAAATCCACAGATGGTA